CTTAGCCAAGTGTTTCAAATCTGGCACATATAGTATTATACATTACACACATATAATTATTTGTACCCCTTAACCTTTTATACCTCGTGATATGATTTTATTTTTATTTATTGTTTTTAAAACATTATGTAAAGTGGAATGTCAATAATAGTTGAAGTTAACAATTTTCGCCACTATTTCCTGGAGTTACAGCTTCAAATTGTTCAAGCTCTGTCTGTATAGGCTTAGAAAATTTAGAAACTTAACTTCTTGCCCATTCTTGTAACCAGAAATCCTAAAACACAGTCACTTAGACAGAGAGCTTATGCAAACCTCGGGTTTTAAGTATTGATACATATTCATGAAAAGATAGATTTAAACCTTGACTGGACCTTTCTAAGTTTGGCTGTTTGATTAGTGTCAATATCCTGTTGAAAAGTAGCTTTTGACAGGGTGTCTTTCAAGGCTGCTGTTTAATTAACCTGATCCTTATCCTCATCCATTCTCATCAGCTCATTTATCCTTCTTAAAGCCTTTCTGCAAAATAATTCTAGTACTATCGTGTTTTATGAGTTCGGGATGTTAGGTTTGGTAGGTCGACAAGAATTTTTCAATCCAATCCTTTCTGACAGAAGCAGTGTCTTCCACATGTTTTGCCATTCCCCAAAGACTGTTTAGGTTTAAAATTACAAAATGATAATCCAAAAAAGTGTGCAAGTCTCTTGAATATTTTTATTTTCTTAGTTGAAATGTTTTTGTCTCTTCCACAAGAAACTTTTAGTTTTAAAGTCAACCTCATGAGCAGTACATTTTTTTTAAAGATCAACCAGTTAATGGGACAATAGAAACTGGTTGCTTATTTGCAAACAAGGACCAACAACCTAACGACTGACCATTAGTGAGTCATGCTCCTAATAACACATGTAAGAAGGGGATAGTTGGACCCTAAGTCTAACAAACTGGACTCTTTTAGTATTAATCAGATTCATCAGGATACAAAATACAAAATGTTATATCATACATTTTAGATTTATAGGCTTTTTGGGTTTGCAGTTTCTCCATAACCATTTTCATTTTAATAACTCTGTGCTTTTGGATATAATTTTATTTTATTTTTCCATACATTTATTTGAAATATGTCACTAAATGTTTATATATATATATATATATATATATATATATATATATATATATATTAGGGTTGCTCAGTGGCGCGGTGGGTAGCACTGCTGCCTTGCAGCAAGAAGGTTCTGGGTTTGATTCCCGGCCTGGGGTCATTCTGCATGGAGTTTGCATGTCCTCCCTGAGCATGCATGGGTTCTCTCCGGATACTTCCTCCCGCAGTCCAAAAACATGACTGTTAGGTTAATTGGCTTCTCTAGTTTCTCCATAGGTGTGAGCGTTTGCGTGAATGGTTGTATGTCCTGTTTGTCTCTGTGTTGCCCTGCCCTGGACTGGCGACCTATCCAGGGTGTACCCTGCCTCTCGCCCATTGACAGCTGGAGATAAGCACCAGCACCCCTCGCGACCCCAATTGGGAAAAGCATGTCAGATAATGGATGGATATATGTATTAAGACTAACTGCAGTGTCTTTACTAATGAAATCATTTTCAAAGGGAACTGTTTGCACTGATTTTTATTTAGGGCATCAGAGGGACCAAATTAAATTGAATACCACAATCATTCACTGTTTTGTGTTGATTTATTCAAAACCAAGAATGTATACATGAAATAATAGTTGCTTATGGTTTTAGTGTAACAAAAAATTACAATGTGTGAGGAGTATAAAAGCCAACCACTCCAAGCCAGGAAGAAAATGTCACCCCCAGCATCTAAAACATGGTGGCCAGCTGGTCTTGACAGTCAACCAAATTAACCTCTCAGGGTTTTTATCAAAACAGAATTAAAATGGAGAAGCAAGATGCTATTGCACAGCAGGAATAGGCTTCAAGCTGAATTTATCCACATAGTAACAGTATATTAATCAACAGGACTTCATGTATCATATTGAGCAACAGGACGTTCTGATACAGGGAGTTATTAATCTCCCCAGACCTGCACCTTCTCCTCTAATATCATTTCCCATTTGTCAAATTCAACCTTTTTATAAGTTCAGCATTTGGCCTCTTCTGACTCAAGTTAACAGGGAAAAAAAATGTAAATGCCACCAATTTCACCTCCTGTACCACTTGGAGCCCTAACAATTATAATAAGTTAAGGTGACATAATTATTCAGGATTAGTTTGAAAGTTAAGAATTTAGGGGAGAATAACTTTAAAAAGGTTGTACTAGTTGTTTATAATTTATCAGAGGATGTCAGTGAATAATGATGAATATTTTTTTAGTCACAGAGAAGAGGGTGAATATTTTTGCAGAACATGGAAAAAGGAGGCTGTGTGCCACCAATAATCTTCCTTTAGAAAACACAAACAGAATGGAAAATGTACGCTAAAGCATTTCTTCGCTTTCCAGTAGAAACGTTATCTTCCTTATCTGATGGGGTAACTTCACATTGACAAAACCATGGTGTCCAACTAGTTCTCAAGCACTGTGCCATTTCAGTCAAATTAGGAATGTATAGTAATTTAGTTTACTAATTTAGTATCTTGTGGTTTTGTTCCGTATTGTGTCTGGGCTCTCCCTTAGAGATAGGGTGAGGAGTTCAGTCATCCGGGGAGGACTCTGAGTAAAATTGCTGCTCCACCACGTCGAGAGGAGCCAGATGAAGTGGCTCGGGCATCTGCTTAGGATGCCTCCTGGACGCCTCCCTGGTAAGGACCATCGCACCAGGAGGACTTCTGGGCCACCCCACTGAAGTTGCTACCCCCGCAACCCGACCCCACTTAAGCAGAAGTAGATGGATGGATGGATGGATGGATGGACGGATGGATGGATGGATGGATGGATGGATGGATGGATGGATGGATGGATGGATGGATGAAATACTAATAGACAAAAGTTTTAAAGTTATAAAGCAAAGTCAGTGCACACCGTCATACTTAACTGATACATTTTACGAGGAAGTTTGCAGGACTTTGTTTTTTAGTTGTGCACAGAAAAAATGGCCTCATCACAAATTTAAGTAGATAATCAGATCAAGCTGTAATATTTAAACAAGTTTAAATGCTAATAGATTGTGGAAAAAAGTCTGTATTATTAAAACATGGTTAAAAAGTGGTGTGTTAATTCTGTCTGGTAGTTTTATTAACTAAACAAATACACCTCAACATTTTTCTACATAGGGTAATACAGAAAACTCTTTCAATAAAGGAGCCTTACTTAAAATGTTGCTCAATTCATGTAAGTTGACTTCCAATAATACTGTGAATGCAAATTCTTGTAAGCCAGTCAGAAAGTTCCAACCTATCTGCATTTTCTGACCAAAAACTGTGTAATTCATTCAACAGTGTCACAGATATAAAGTGTCTTTAGTTTAGTTTAGTTTTAGACAAAATGATCAAACCTTTTCAAATCTGTAAGAAGAAACATTTTATTCACAGGTACTGGAAAAGAAAACACAAGCTGCCATATAATACATTTATACACAAGGTTTGAAACTCCTATACAAAAAACAAAGGTATTAGAAAATATGGGTTTTGATATGAAACGTGACCTTACATATTATCAAACCTTTTGAAAAGAAGGTCTGTTTGGTTTAATTTATGAGCCACCCCTCTACATCAGTGAAAACTGAAACTACTGTAAAAAATTAGAATGGTAAAAATGGAGTAGAAATCATCTGTATAAATGGTTAAAAAATCTCATGCAGCATCTTCTGTGAGGGCCTGAGAGAGTATATGTTCATAAAAAAATGGAAAAAAAACAAACAAGAAAAACCATAGCTGGTCAGTTATTATTTCTAAACAATCATTTTCACAGATCATCTTTCCTCTCTTTGTGTCAGCCGTTTAATTCATAAGCGCATTCAGACGGCTTCAGAGATATGATTGATTTTTGCTTGACACTGCTACAATCAAATACCAATTTAATGCATCCTTTCATAAGAGAAAGCAAATTTAAATACTTAAGAAATGTTCCAATTTTTTTCTCAACAGTGTTGATAAAAACTAAGGTTGTTGCAGAGTTCCATAAAGTATGTGGAGTGAAAATGGGCTGGAATGCATAGAACTGAGGCTTGGTAGCACTCAGCAAATTAGCTGTAGAGAAAGATGCTGGCACATTGGTGCTGTCTCATTTGTGTCTGAACTATCTGCAGAAAATAAGGCTCAATGATGAGCATCCATAGATCTACTGTCACAACCGAGGATAGAGAACTCTATCACTGTCCATCACAGTGCCAGTCTGATTGTTTTGGCTTTGTTTTCTCATTTCCTAGCAAATAAAACATTGGTTACAGAAATTGAATACATTTTCCTTGCCAACAAACACCACAGCTGATCCACAGACACCCATTTTGATAAAGGCAACTGTAGGGAAAAACAAATGACTTCCATCCTGTGAACTTTTACAAATCAGCTGACAGGAGGAAACACTGTGCTTGATGAAAAATAAAAATGCAGTCCAGTTTCAAAGTCTAGAAAACTACAGAAATACAAAATTTAACTTAAGGCGCAAGAGGTTGAATGACTATGAGGAAAAATGCTGACTTGAGGTTAGAAATAAGAGAAAAGGCAAAGTCTGGGATCGCAATAACATTAGCTTATTGCTTCTTCTTTTTTCTTTATTTTTTCCCAACTTAGAAAAGGATAATTGTACACACCACAAATTTATTTAAATACACTATACAATGCAGTATAAAATATTTTTCTTAAAAGCAACATATTCAGGATTAAGCTAGGGTATGCTTAAAATACCTGCACAGTATGAAAAATAATGAGTCAAAAAAAAACATTAAAAAAGGCACTTAAGGGTGTTGTTTGACGAATTTTCAATAACTGATAACCACCGCTTTGCCGTGAAGACAACAGCGTTTGTGCTCACGCTTCAATTCTCTGCTCTGTCCCAGACAACGAGGCACTGTAAGCTGAGATGGTCAAGATTTCCTCTTCTTTTTTTTTTCCCAGTAAAGCTCTGCTCTCGTCTCCCATCCAACTTTTTTTCCTTCATTCCAGTGATAGTTATAAACTGACTGCTACATCTCTTCTAACATTTTCTTCTCACTTCCGCTGTCTTTTAAATTTCTACTTGCTTCCCTCCTCAAACTTCGACTTCACGCAGTCCCTCTTGAGCTCCTGATGTCGATGGCATGCTGATGTCAAAACAAGTCACCATCATAACGTGGGACTTGCAAAGGTTGACGCAAAACTCCAACTCCTCCGTGGCCTGTGCCAAGGCCTCCAGGTACTCAGGAGACTCTTTATCCAAATTATGGTCTACATCAACTGTTGGGACAAGAAATTTTATCAAGTGAAACCAAAATATTTCTGTATGTGTTTTCTATTCTAAGAGGTGAAAAATCAGTGAAACACATATGATATTGACTTACACTCTCCAACCCACTTGCTGGGATCCATCATTAGTCGAACTTTTGTGTCCTCCAGCTCCTCCAACAACACTTGGTGCTTTGCTTTCAATTCCCTCACCTGCTGTTGCCTTCTCTCCAGCAATCTCCACTTGCTGTTAAAGTATATCAAACCCTACGAGATGATTAAAAAAGGGGATTATTAAATGTATTAAACATGCAATAATCAGTTGCTTTTGCAGAAATTCTAAAAAAGTGAGCGACCAGTTTCAAATGAGGTAAAGAAATAGATAAATCAAACTTGAAACGAGTCTTCTTATTGTTTGTGTTTTACGCAAATTCAACCAATGTCAAATTTTAAATCAAGCAGCAATTTGAATTATGTTCAAAAATAATCACAGTTGAAACAAATAAGCATACCTTTTCAACGTCTTGGCACGATTGCTGGAAGAAATAGAGACAGAATGTTAGCACGCCATCATGACATTATCTCGAGTAAATTATTACCATGTTACACATGAACTGTGCAAATATGGTCTAATCTTGCAATTTAAATTGGCCAGGAGAAGAAATAAACCAGCTAACTACTTCAATTAAGGTAACATGAAAGATTATAAATATACAGATCCTTGAGAAATATTCACATACCCTGAAACTTCTGAAGTATTGCCATGAAACAACAGCAAACTACTATTGGGATTGATATGATTACAAATATTATCAACTTGACCATTGTTAGGCCTCTCTTTTATGTTGAAAACCTAACAAAATACCCTGTTGTTGTTTTAGCACCAGTTAGTATAGGTTGTATTATTAGTTTATAGCTTATATTTTTCCATCAGGTTTTTTTCTGGCCAGCTGAAATTATGGAACCATAAAAAAAACAAACAGAAGAAATCATCAAAGATCCAAAAAGGGGAATCAAGTTAGTATGTAGTGTTTTTGGTAAGATCAGGATGTTTCTGCTGCCATCACCTTAGTCATTTTTTTTATAATCAATCTCTATCCTTTTCACTCACCTCCCTGTCAGTAGTACAAGTCTTTTTTTCACATTTATATCTGGTAACTTTCAACAGCTCATTGAACTACTGACATTCATTGGGAATGAAGCCAAAATAGAAAGCTTTAAAAGCTTGGACTCAGACATTTTAAATTTAGGGTTTGCTGCTAAGCTGACTGAAGGTCAAACGTCTGGAATTTGTTGTTCTTGTCTTGCTTGTTCAAGTGAAATTCAAAAGAAGAGATTCAAGTTATTCCCACACTGAGATATGTATACCGTTAACACTGCACTTGCAAAACTTAGGCTTGTTAAGCATGGGTTTAACAAGCAGGAGTCACAAGACCACCACCCAGACATGACAAAGGTTTAGCAACATGAACCACAAACACTGTGGATTGACCCTCTGCTCACCTCTGCGGTTTCCTCTTGACGCCGCCTTTGGAGACGTTCCACATCATCAATCTCATATACTTTGATCTCAAACGGCTCTTTCAACTGTCCAGACATAGGAGGCAGGTCCACCCACTGGCCTGCAGGGGCCACCTTTTTCCCCAAGGACGATGTGTCTGGCAGGGGTGCAGGAATTAGCCGTCTTCTCTGGAAGCCTTAAAATGTGGATCGCATATAGTTAGATACTGTAAGCAGTATGTATGATGGGATCATGGTAAGATATGTTCAACTGTGTAGCATAATTCTCAAACAATGCACTCAAATGTGTTTCAGAGCACTTTTCTAATCTTCCAAAAGTGTTTATAGGACAGTAAATGTATGGTATAAAAAATGAAAATGGAAAGAAAGGATAGTCTAGTCATAAATTCTCAGCAGTATTTGACCTACATGGGTAAGCTATAAACAGTGCTGACTGGAGCACTGATTTAAAGGAATCAACAGTCTAAACATTTAAGACCTTGAAACTTAATTATGAATCTAAATGTGTAGTTGTAGGCCATGGAAACTGAGTGAACAAGTCTTCAACATATTTATGGATCCATATTGCTCACATCTTATAAGTAACTTTACAATGCATTGAGATCCAGTACATCACATGTTTGGTCAACCATTAGTAAGATTTAAAAACTATCCATTTAAAACCATGGACCTAAGGCAGTGTTTAAAGACTCAGGTATACAATAAATTGAATTGACTTCTTTAAAGAGATTATTCAAAATTCCAACTAATTGAAAAAAAAAATACATTTTGTTTGACCATTTTGTTTGACCTTTTTTTAAAAGAATTATTGTATTTTTAATTTGTTTTTGTTTTAAGAGGAATATTAAAATGTAAGCTTTACTCCATAACAGCATTGAGGTTTCCTTCATGCTCTGATGACCTTATAAGTCCACCTAAGTGCTGATCTTCTGCCTTTTATTATGAGCATTAAAAAAAAAGATCATTCTCAACCCATATGACCATTGATGTTATTTTTAAAGTGCCTGACATGTAAAGTGGTGCATTAATGTTTCTGTTTACAAATCTTACCATTAGCTCTCTTCTTGGGATACTTGGAGCTCCTTGCTCGGCCTAAAGATGACATCCCACTTTCACTCATGGAGTCAAGGGCAGATGAAGCACTACCTGTTGCTTCACTATCCCTAATCATGCTCTCATATCCGCTGCTGCCTCCACTGTGGTAGAACAGAGCTGTACGGCCCATGGCTGGAGGAAGCTCGCCGCTCAGCACACTACTGTTATCACTGCCATGGCCACTGCTGTAGCGCTGAGGCCTTCTGGGTGCAGTGATTTTACTGTACGGAGAAGGTAAGATGGCTGTCGGGGACTTGTCATCGGTCACGTTTACTCCACTGTCATTCCCACTGTCTGAATCTCCTGAACCTTTACCATGCTTTACTGATACATTGCCTGTGGCAAGTTCACTTACACGGCTGTTTGCAGCCCTAATGGCCTGCTTTGTGCCCATGATAGTCCCTCTACCAGGCTTGTTTGTGATTTGGGCAGTAGTCCGAGAGCCTGATGTCCGACCCGATGGTGGAAGGTTAGCGTTGGTATTCCGGGAAACAGAAGATGCCAAAGATTTAGTAGAGGAACTAAGGCCCTTGGAGCTGTTGGCTGACAGTGAGCGGGCTTTATTCCCATTAACTGCTCCTAATGCTCTGGTATTTACAGATGCTTTTATTTGACTGGGTTTGGCAATGTTTCCTCCACTTTGACTAGGTTGGAAGGTAGCTATGGGGGAGCTTGATGAATTAGGGATACCAAATCTTGGAATTGACTTGTTAGATTTGCTTCCCAGACTTGCCCCACTGTTTTCCCTGCTAAGCGCAGTTCTGGAGCCTGATAGAGACAGGCTCTCACACCTTTCCAGTGACATCTGACTGCCATAATGCAGCCCAGCATCTCCTTTAGAACCTTTGGCCTTCAGGCTAGAGGTAACTTTGGCTGTGTTGAGGCTAGAGGTTTTTAAATTGTTGGAATCTGTTTTACGATGTCCCTCAAGTTCATCCTCTGATACAGCTGTCCTTGACCCATAAGTCTTTCCTCCTTCCCCATATGCTGACTTTAAGGCACTTTGGGGTAGCAAAATCTTAGTCTTGTGATCAAGGCTTGACTTTCTAACTGGAGGAGGAGGTGGCGAGGTGCAACCAGGCTTTGCGAGATCACTTGCTTTTTGTGAGTTAGCCTTATTGTTTTTCCCCAGTGAGGAGAATTTAAGGCTTCCAGAAGATGAAGCAGTATCCTGGCTTCCTTTGTGATCTGTGGAGGAATGAATAACAGGCACCGTTCCCAGGGTGGTGGCACCTCGTTTCAGCTGAGGCACTCTGCTGGGTGTATTCCTGGTAGCACTCTTCTCACAGCCATCAACCACTCTCTGGGATGAGGTAGACCCCTGCACCTTTGGAGGGTGAGGTACACTGTTGCTGTTGTTGGATGCTTTGCTGGAAAAGACACCACTGGGGGGATTTCTGAGAAATCTGCTGGTGCTGCTTGAGTCAAAAATCTGAGGTTCTGTGTGGTTATTAACTCGTTGCCATGGATTCTCTTGTTTGGCTTCTTGCCTCAGTGGATCTCTACTGCTGCTGCTGCTACTATGAGAGATGGATGAGGTAGGTTTTATCTTCCTGGGAAGACTAGAGTGGACAACTGATGAGCACTGTGGAAGTGGAGAGGAGCTCACTGAGTGAGCTTTGGATAATTTAGATGTAAATCGAAGGGACCCTTTGGCTGATTCTGGTGAGTTGGGGGACTTTGTCAGTGACAGTTTACTTGATGCGGTGCTATCATTGTCTTGTTCAGAAAAACTGAATCCACTATCATTCAAAGAGTTCTTTGCATCTCTTGTAGATGACACGCATTGAAACATGTCCAGGGAATCAAAGTAAAATGTGGACTCTGGCCCAATTTGTTGGGCCTGAGGAAGGAACACATCTGTGGAATGAGCCCCTTCACTTTCTGAGGTGCATACACTGACCTCGCTCAGCCAAGAACTTATAGACGATCCCCTGCTGTCTATACACTCTATTGCACCCTGTTGGGTGGGCGTGACTACTGCAATGTTGACTTCAGTTCCTCCAACAGTTGATGTGTAGGCATCAAATTCATCATTTATGCTGCTGATGATGCTGACAGGTCTGGAACCAGAAGCAAGGGCCTGAAGAGAGCAGTCACTGTTGAAGCTAATAATACTTGATGGTCGACCCTTATCCACAATACTACCAATGGAAAGCTCTTCTACAACAGTAAACACTAACTCATCTTCCCCATTTAACTCCACTGGCTGTTGCAGGGTGACAGTAGCTCTAAGGATGTCTCGATCCATACACCTTTCCCTCAAAGCTGACCGCACTTGGCACACCTCTAGGGGTGCTCTGAACAAAGGTGATGTGCAAGGATCCCTTTTTTTTACAGCTTGGTGGCTCATTCCCACTGGTGGCATCCTGGTGGAAGATCTTTCTCCTTTTTCTGGGGTTTCTGTCTGCTGCAAGGGAGGTGGAGCTGGCTTCGGCAAGGCTTTCTTATAAGGGTAAACTTTCTCCCTCACTACAGGCTCTGAGTTTGGGTCTGTGATAGCTGTTGGTCTGTTTCTGGTGACAAGACTTTCAGACATCAATACCTTCTCCCCGTCCGCACTTGTTCTGCATATATTTTGAACAGTCTCAGCTGGAACCATTTCTGAAGGTATGCATTGTCTCTTGTTAATGTCAAGTTTAGGTTTAACATTTGGGCTGCAGGGCATTTGAATAGGGCTAGATTGCTTAGTGGACATTCCCTCTTGGTTGTAAATATTTCCTCCAGTCTTTGGTGAATTACACACTTGGGTTTCCTTGGATTTGTCCATTTTAGGGCTAGCCTGGTTTCTCTTGCCTTCCCCAACAAAGGCAGAAGGTTCCTCACTGCCATCTATACAATCCAGTCTCTCCTGGAGCTCAGCAAACGTGTTACATTTAAAGAAATGGTCTCTATCCTGAGGGCCCTCTTTTGCAGATCTCTTCTTGTTAAGGGAGGGAATAATAGGAACGAAAGCAGGTGGTCCTTCATTGTCACTAAGCTCTCTATCTGAAATTGCAGTTCCGCCAGGGCCCACGTAAATAACAGTATCACAAGATTGTTCGCTACTTGAGGAGTACTCTGGATCACTGAGCAAGGCGGGCAGGTCTGGGTCCAGCGCTACTGTGCGAGGGTGGAATGGTCTCAGGTGTGGTGGCCGCCGAACTCTGCCTTCTTCACAAGAACTCTCCCCTCCAGAAGAACTTGATGCATACTTTAAAGAAAAAAAATCAAAGCACATATTAGACTTTAACATAGAGAATACAAGACCGAAACCAAGGTTTGGTTTAAATTTGCAGCTTTAAAATTAGGTTTCGATCACTTTGTTCTTTACTGACAAGGATGCCCCTTGGTCCTACGTAACGTGCAATTACTGCATAAAAAAATAAATGCTGCAGTCTCCCCTCAGTGTACGTTTTGTATTTGTGGTTACAACAGTGAGTTTAATTTGGTTTCAAATATTTATGTGATGACAAATTTCAGAAAACCTTATTAACCATTATGAGTTATTACAATTTAATTTTTAATGTTTATATGTATTTTACATTACATGTCAATATTTATCTAAAGGTTAAAAGTACACATCAATAGACACATTAAGATAAATGTCATTAATACAAGTAGCTATATCTAAACAGCATAATAATTATCACTGGGACGACAACCAAATAAATACTGGCCTCTATAGGGCCTCATTACCTTCCCCTAGAAGTGTTATCGATTATATGCAGATATACGACGTAGCTGAGAAACAGTATTTCTTTTTAACCATTATATATATATATATATATATATATATATATATATATATATATATATATATATATTAGCATATACAGGAAGCCTGTTTTTAGAGCACTGATTATATACAAATTTACAATTAATACGGGCAACAAGACTGACAATGGCATGTCCTGAGGTTGACAATCTCTATCTTCAGCAACTTAAGGGCAAAAAATATGAAAAAAACAGGAATAGATCTTACTTATAAAACATTGTATAAGCCTTAATTTAGCATATAATAAAACAATTAACAATGTATATTAATTATAATTTAATAATATGATAAAAAACATGTTAAATCTTTAAAAAATTTGCACTTCCTCCTATGTATATTTTTTTTTACTTTATTTTAATCAGCATGACAACATATATTTGCTCTGTAAAAGATTATCAGCATACCTTTGATTTCTTCTTTCTCATGCGGTGAATGCGGGAGGCAAGCTGGATTGTGTTGAGTGAATCGGCATAGTGGGTCGGGGAATCTGAGATGTGGGCAATCATGGTGGTTCTGCAGTTAATGTTGCCGAGAGACTCCCTCAGCAACATTGTTAGCTTGCTGTCCCTGGAGAGTGCATTAAAGTTGTGATTAGCAAACAGAGCTGCCATGTTTTAAAGCACTGATAAAATAGCTGATGTGTCATCTGGGGAAGCGTCCTTAATACACCGAGTAAAAAAACACTCCCAGATGACAAGTAGTTAATCTTTTCATACTTAATATTAACATGATGTGCCACACCATTAAAGCTGTTACCTGCAGGTGAGTAAATAGTCAACCCATCTACTGAACATAAAAAAAAAAAAACAATAATGGTTTTCTCACCTGTAAGGTACATGTTTTGCTCCGTTTGTCAAAGCCATTATGACGTTTCCCAGTGCATTCAGAGAAAGACACAAGCCTCCCCCTCCCTCTCTGCTTTTGCTCAGGACCTTCTCACAGCTCCCCAGATCAATAAGGTGCAGTCTACTCCGTCCACCTGACACTGTTCGGATGGAAAACAAGAAACGAGGTGAGGAGCTAAAAAAAACTCCCGTTTTAAAGTTGCAGTGAGACGATGACAGACTCTCTCACTAAGGTGATTTAATGGGCCTTTTTTAATATTTTGTCCCTTTAAGACCACAAACACCAAAACATTTAATTGTGAATTTATATAAAACAAAACAAAGTGGTTAATTCAGTTGAAAAGGAAGTCGAGTAAAGATATAATATAAATAGATATATGGAAAAAGTATTTTTTACATTTGTATCCAGACCTTTTTACATCGCCGACATTAATAACCACGTATAACATGGTAAGATAGCAAGTCACACTATGTTACTTGGTAAAAAGAAAAACTTTATTTGGTAATTACCCCATAATTAAGGTCTATATATGCAATACCTGCATGTAATTATTACAATTGTATGTTACTATGTAACAATGGAGACTTTTGGTGGTTAATTGCCATTAGGTTACTGTACAACAGTTTATCGTTATATTTATTATTGGCCACCACCTACCAATAGATTACAAAATAAATTGTAGCTTGTCATCAGGTTAACAAAGCATTATAAAGCTGAGCTCGTCACATATAAATACGAGTTTAGTTAAGAAGATTGTATTGCTGTCTTCTAGGTTTGGTTTTCTGTTATATACCAAGTAATACACTGCATTTTACTAAATAATAAACACATTAATTTACTGTGTTGGTGAAATAACTGGTAATAACGGTTGACATCTAAGAAGTCTGACCTTGTCTGCCTAAAATTTGAAGCACAGCACTTGCCAAAATTTTCCATAAAGGGTTTCTTATTATGTAGTAATATAGTTTAACTTGTTATGTTATTACTATGACGTTACATGGTTATTGATATACTGTAAAAGAAAGTGTACCTAACATGACAGAACAAACAGTATCATTAGGATCAAGGAAAGCAGATTGGTTAGGGATACAGTTGTGAAGAAGTTTATCAAACATTGCGTTGATCAAATTATGTCACTCCTTATCCAAATTGACTGAGGTTAAGCTATTTGGCAAAGCAATGTTAGTATTTTGATAAAACTGATAAACATATATTAAAATAGATGTGGTAGATAAAATGTCATTCTACAGTGATTTTTTTATTTCAGGAGGCTGTTTTTATTAAGAAAAAAAAAAGATTAATAGATATGTATCCTTTACCTTTCAACCTTAAAACTGTACGCATTTTATTAAAAGAAACAATGTGTAACTTTGACTTTGTTGTTTGTTTTATTTAATAAAACACAACAATTAGAATCAACAACCCCAATTATTCATATAAATAGTTATCGAATACTAACTTTTCTCTAATGTGAGTGCTTAAATGAGATTCTGCATTGCAATAATACTAACTTCCGCCTTTTCCACTTTTCTCCATGCGATATTGGTAAATGTGAAGCGTGAACAGCATGTGCGAGTTGCGTCTTTCATCCTCATCAGCATCTGGCCTGCTGGTGCTGCGCGCGGCGAGGGCTGCGTCCAGGAAGAAAGCGGCTTTCTCAGCGGTCGGGGCCCGGAGCTCACTCTGGTTCTGGAGCTACAGAGGTTGGAGAGCGGTGGCAGGGTGAGCAAAAGACACCAAACACAACTTGAGAAAGAAGGTGAAGTTAAAACGGAGGCACAGTTAAGGACAGCAGCCAGTTAATTGGACCCAAGCATACATTAGAGTGTATCTCTAGGGCAATTAAAACAGCAGATATGCACAGAGAGAGAGAGGGGGGGATTAGGAGAGGTAATGTTGGTGATGGAAGTGTTAGAAAAATAAAAAATAAAGGGAGTGGTAGGGAATGAAGGTGAAAGAGATCATAAAGAAGCCCACGCGTGACTGCCGTGAGGAAGACAAGCTTCACAGGACTGCACATCGTTTGAAGTCAGAGTCCACAGTTGCCCCAAAAAACAACATCTGTCAGCAACACCTGTGAACACCTTCAAACATCCAGTTTTACCATCCCCCAATATTATTTCTATTGTGCTACAGAGGGCTGATTCTAATTCATCTATAATAGATACTGACAGGATAGTCAGTATGGGAGAGAAGCAGAGAGCTATCAATAACATAGATGAGTTTGGTTTATATATGAAACATGGATTGAAGAAGCAGGATCAAGACAGATAACTGGGAAGTCCTGGGAGACGTTGAGAAAAAGAGAGGCTCACCCATGCACTCAAAAGAAAGTTTAAACCTCGTTGGAGGAGAAGGGAGAGGTTGAGCATAGACAAAGAGATCAATACTCGGATAATACTAGAACCCACAGAGAGAATGAAAGGATCAGTGAACAAAGAAAAAGTGAAGCGCTGTGGAGATCCTTACCTGAGTGCCACAGATGGGATCCTCTCTCAGATGGATTCCGGGGGACTGGCCCTCCTGCAGACTGCCTGTTGAAACCTCAGACAGCAGGTCCTTCAGCTCCTCGTCTTTCCCAAAGATTTCCACAGCAGACACCCGGACTGAGAAGCGAGTGCCCGTCTTCTCCTTACGCTCATTGATGAGCTTGAAAAGCCAGGAAATAGCACAGGGCACAATGCCCAAACTCTGAGGGGAGCTGTCTTTTCCAATCATGGTGTATGTCTTGCCTGGTAAGTCAGAAGAGAAAATGACAAAAAAATAATGGTAACTTAATACAGAGTCATCAATACAGTGTTTTCAATTTGACCTTACACAAACCTTAAACATATATTCTTCCAGCATTTATATTCCATATTTACATTAGTATAAAAGAAATTCTCAAAGGAATGTAAAGACAATGAACGGCGCCATTTTTGGGGGGGAGATAATCAGAAAAAAATGGCGTGAAATAAAATTAACACTTAAAGGATTTCTGCAACTGAATATTTTTTGAAAGAATATATTAATCCCAATAGAATTTATGATTGTGACCTGACAAAATAAGGAAAGGATATAAGATATATCTAAATATATAAAGCTAAAATGAATGGGCTGGCCTTTTACCACCCCTATGAAAATTGTTCAAAGGTTACTGTGTTTAACAATTAGTGATGGAGAAGAAAATGACTGATGGAGGGCATTGGACGTAACATTAAGTTAAAGTAAAATCAAATGCTAATTCAAGGACTTATTCCAGAAGGAGTCATTCTGTGGAGAATTATAGCTAACAGCAGCAGAAGAGAAGCACGCTCTTCATCCTAGGAGGACTGGCTGGACTAATTACTAAGATTTTAATTAGAGACTGAGCCCTGAAGCTTGCACGCGGCACTTTGCACCCCCCTTCTCACCTCCAACCCATTCTTTTTTCCCCTCCAATCTCCCATTCCTTGACTCACCCCAGTGCACCGCTAAGCCAATTGTGGACATCGAGCGTAGCTAACAAAGAGCAATGAGAGTTTTTTTTCCGAGACTAACAAAGGCTCTTGTCTAATCTGTTGCCAGTGGAGGAGCTTACCGAGCTTGACTTGGCCGAAGCAGAAGATGCAGCCGTCTGCACCGTTCACCACAGACTGGATGACCTCCGCTACTGTCCCTGAGCATACCTCAGCCTGCGAGAAACAGAGTCAATAAACTACCTGTGACAGGGAAGCTACAGCTCAGGCAGCTCTGTAACAATATGAATAAAGAGAATCAAAAACTGAAATTCTATTCTGATATTATAGAGCCGCAAAACCTGTAAATTCTCAAAAAAACAAAAAATGAACAATAAAATCACACTATTCTTAAAAGCAAATAAGCAAGTGTTGAAAATGTTTTTATACACAATTAGTAGGTAGGAATCAATTCAAAACACAAAGTGAATCCCATATATGCATATCCCACATGACTTTGCTGAGTTTGACACAGTATTGCTCTACACTAAATTTTATACTGCTTTAAAAAAAACACCTTTAGAAAATATAACCTTTTTGGTTGACTTTTATATTTGCAGGAAACCAGAGTTAGCTCATCAGAGGCAGATAGGTAAATTCTAATAATCCACAAAATCGGATTTAAAAATATTAACTTTTTTAAATCAGGAATGAACCATATACTGAAAAAAATAATGCAACTGCTTTTGGCATTTACTTAATCATATTTAGTTACTTTAAAACAATTGTTTTATCTCCTACCCTGGCTAACATGAAAGGATTGTGTTAAAGTGACTAAATATGATTAACTAATTGCCAAAAGCAGTTGCATTATGTTTTTCAGTGTATGTTTCAGATGTTTAACAACCCACTAATCTCAAAATTGCAACAGAAATTCTAGCATCCCTTTAAATTTCAGCAGATTTGAAGCGTTTTGAAATAAATGTATTTGCAAGCAGTTATTTGCCGCTGTGGTGAATAACAGGCAGAGTAACTCACCAGAAAGTGTTTTAAACCCCTACATAGGGAACAGGTTTGTTAGGTCTGATCTAAGGCACCATAATATAAATCTTTCTGAACTTTGTGTAGCTTGAGACTTAACTAAAGTTATAATTTTCATTAGTAAACATTGTGCTCCCATTGATTCTAGTTGTTTCTCAGCCTTGGCCTTAGGTGACCTGGCTGCATTCTTGGTCGTGTTTTTTCCCCCTTCCTACTGATTTACACATTTCTTAATTTCACTTACCGGTACTTCAATAAACGTAACTCTCAGTAGCTGAAAGCCTAATCGGAGCTGAAATTAAAACTAAAAATATATATATATATCCCATTTGGGGAACTCCCATCACTCAGGTGTGTTTTTGCAATGGTTGCAGTGCGTATTTCTGTTTCAGCATGGGACCTCTGGGAGCAGTGGTGCCCTTAACCATACATCACACAGCAAACAAGACCTGTAACAGCTGAACAGCTTGCTGTAACAGTTAGCCACCAGCAGAGCCGTCCCAGAGGCATAATCCAGAGCCTTGGCTCCGGCTCTGCAGCAGAAACATTTAGACTTCAGCTATCAGCACCATACTTAAGAAATAATAGCTCCATGTTGGTGGCATGACAGAGGATCTGGGGCTTTCTCAGCTAAAGAAATCTCACTCTACACCATTTGCCACAAACTTGTTTACTCGACTTTAATGCACTATTAGGAAATAAAAAGAAAAATCCTGATTAAATCTTACTGCTGAATTACATATCTGTGCCATTATAATCACAGTTTTTCCTTATGAGACAGTAAATATGAAGCTGACCTTTGTCTGTGTTTCAGCAGGTGTTGTGTTGTTAGATATAGAGGTTGGATATAAACAGAGTGGATTCAAATCATTCCTCAGACGGCTTAAAAGCCCCAGCTGTTAGGCCCACACTGGTAAGAATGCCCCCCTGACCCAAGACAGGCATTTTTCTCTAAGCCTCTGGTCACACCCTGCAAACATAAAGATCGTCCCTTCGTCCTTGAGAGGCTAAATTCCCACCCGCCACCTTAAAAAAAAAAAAAACACACACACACACTTGAAGCACACATGCAGGGCCCTTACTTGTGAGGCATCGTGGGTAAAAACAGCATCAAAGGCAAATATCTTTGGGACGGCTACAGTGGCGGACCTCCTGTGCCCTGAGCTGGAGTGCGGGCTGGACGCAGGGTCATAGAGGGTCAGCTGTTTTTTCCTGCTGTCTACCTTTAAGAAAGACTGAGACTCGGAGGAGTCGGCACCCTCCAGAGATGGACAGATTCGCATCATCACTTTTACCTAGAAGGATAAATAATAACAGGAATAGGATTAGAAAGTACAAAATGCTAAACATTTATTGTTTGATTTAAAGCTAGGACAAAACAAACTTTATTCCTCTAAAAAATAGGGACAAAACTGTAGAGGCCAATTTTAATATATTATATTTGCGTTCATATATCAATTAATATTCTATTAATTGCTTACTCTAAACGATTAAAGTTTTTCCAAAGAATCAAAAAATACTTGTATTGCCTTTCAGAATAGACCTTTTGCTTTTTATCCGTTCTCCAACAATGTAAACAAGACCTGCACTGCAAAGCAGGAAATATATACATATTGTGTGACAGCATGACAAAAAATAAATTCTTAATATCTAATAACAAAAGAAGAAAATAGTGAAAAAACAGAAAGAATGAAGATAAATCCATACAGGCTCAGTTCTTTCATAATCGTATAGTGCATCATGTGTCCTACAACATCATGGGGTCTAATTCAGATTTGAAGTACATCTCAGGTTACCATGGAAACTTTCAGTCTTTCATTGACTGGTAAACTCAATGGGTCAACACAAATGGTGTTGGTAAAAGGCAGCAAGGTGGCTACTGAAAGTCAAATCTGAAATGGATGGAAATTGATGTGTGTGAAACCTCCTGCTGCAGGATTATCTAAATCCAGGTTGTTTTCTAGACAGCGGGCTGCTCAACAGAATGGAATAGCATCAGCATATGCCCCCAACCCTCCAATATCTCCTCCATTATTCCACCTACTCACTCTCCTACTTCAGTTGTCCCTCCCCTTCGTTGCTTGAAAAAAGCCAGTTTACTGTTAAGAAGCCTGAAAGCCACCCAGCTGCATAATGTGGTTTCACATTCATCAAGTGAGCTTTATGGTCTTAACACATTCCACAGGTCAGCGTATGGTTCATCATGCCAGCATAGGAAACTGAAAACGGTGACAGCCGATGCATTAAAGCGTTGACTGAGCACAGCTTTGACGAGACAGCTCATGTCACAGGAGTTGAGCCAGTCTGCTGTTTGTGCACAGTTCAACCTCTAGCAGACAAAGGCAGATAAATTTGACAATTTCCTGCTGAAGAGAAGCACTGTGTGTGGTTTGTGTGGCCGTGTTTGAACATGTCAGGCTAGATAACACCATCATTTACAAAACACCTCCTTTAGAAATACTGACAACTCCATATCGTTTCACAATCTGATGGTCAGATTTATCTCTTTCTTTTTCCAAAGGCAATGTGCAAACATATCTGTGACTGATAGGTGACAGAAGCAGCTCAAGGGATACTGTATGTTTAACAGTCCTGTTATCTTTTAGAGTGTTTACTGTTACCCCAAGCGTTACATTACTTGCAATGGTCTCTGAATGCTGCCGTTTATGGTAGATGCAAATCAGCCCTAAGCCACTAAAAGTAAATGTGCTCCCTCTTTGGCACTGAAATAAAACCTTTAAAATAAACAAATGTTTGTCAGAAGGCTGTTTTGCTGAGCCTTAAGACTCTCCAAACTCCTGACGACAACATTAAAAGTTAACTCTCCCAGGGACATCTGTATAAATGTTCCTGCAAATGGTAGATAGAAAACTGCAAGGTTTTGTTACCAGAGGGTCATTAACTATTCCTGTTCTTCAAACATTTGTTACATTAGAACCACAAATTTCAATGTATTGTATCAGGATCTAATGTGATAGAATAGCTCAGTAAATTTGTCATGATATTTTAATCAAGATTTTTTGTTCTTTTTTAGTTTCACTTTGGTTTTTCAGTTAAACTTTGGTTTATGTAATCCTGTGTTTTCTAAGTTATTAGTTTCACTTCCAAATAATGCCATCTAAGTTCTTTTCTAGTTATATTTAAGCACAGTTGCACCTATTGGTTACTCTCTGTTGCCCCCTTCTGCCACTCTCCTTTCCCCTAACTCCCTTCTAGTTCCTTCTGTCCACACCTGCTCCCAATCAGTTGATTAATCCATTCACTGGTCTGTTTTGCATATATACTCCTCCTCTGCAGTTACTGTTTGCTGGATTCTCTTCATTCTCTCCCGAAACGCTGTGTTCCCCTTTGTTCTTGTCCCCGTGTTCTCTGATTAGTTATTTCTGGATTTATGCTTTTGTTGCTGCCATTCTGATTATTAAATCTGCAAGAAACCACCTCAGCTTCAGTCTCTGCATTTGGGTCCACTACAAACCTCCATTCACAATGACAAATTTTGAAGAAAAATGGTACATGGTTCTGGTATCTTTTTACTATTAAGTATTTTAAAAATGTGGGGTGTACACACACCAAGGGCTAGGGGTGCAAACGTGTTGCAAATGCATGCATGCACAGCAAAAAATGATGCACAAGAGATTCTGCATCATAGAAAAAGGAGACCAACAAAGTGCAAATGCCCTGAAAACACTAAACCCATTGCAAATACATAAATGTTGCTTAAAAGAAAAATAGGGGAAGATGCTGCAAATGGCAAAAACTACTGTATAAGAAAGGTGCTCCAGACCACTAGGGGGAGACAAGCAACTGTTTGCTTGATTTATGGATTCAATATTGCTCAGTGGAATGTTTAAAGCTTGGGATATTAATTCATAGCCTCACCCAGATTAACATTTTCCCCATATTATGCTAAACTAGTCTGCTATGCTCTTCATGGGTTCATTTGTTTACAAATGTTCTCTAACAAACCTTGTGGGCCTACAAAGAATAGCTGAATTTGAGCAGATACCAAACAGCAAAGAGTTTGACTCTGTTGAGGAAAGCTTTGTACCCAATGGGTTGACTTATTACCCATGTTGTTTAAGGCCATCAGAACATAATGGAGGCTGAAACCACACTTTCATCTGTTGGAAATGTTGAAAACCATGGATTGAAATTTAAAAAACATTCATAGATATGACATCATTTGGGAACCCCTTTACCTTAAATTCAATTTAACTATTTTTTTTTTTTTTAAGTGTATCCGACTACTTTGTGACAACAATATTCATACAATCAGTAAATTATTTCGGTTTAACATTTAAACAAATTTTCTACATTAGACTGTTGAGGTCATTAGAAAAAAAAAAAAAAGCTAATGTCTAAGCTTTATTTATGTTGGCAGTGATCAGATATCAAGGTTTGGAGTATTTTAAGGCACTGCTAATGGTCTTTGTTTCCCTGCACCTTGATCCCTCTCTGAAATCCATTAGTGCTGCTTGGCACGACTCCATATAGAGATGTCTGCAGGTAAAAGCAGGGAAGTGGAAGTGACCTACATATGCCTGATGGAAACCAGACATACACTCAAGTGTCACAGTGTTGTACTGATCTAAACCAGATGTCGGCAAAGTCAAGCTGGAGTGGGCAAGTGAAATGTTATTTCACCCGTCTTTTTAGACGGTTACGAAGAAACAGAGTCACTGCATTGGTGTATTTGCTCTTCAATAAAATAGTGCTGTAACTCACGTAGGTTTGGATAGATCATAAAAATCTCATAAAAAGTCAACTGTCCCTTTAGCAGAACAGATGCCCACCACTGATCTTGCCCGGGCTTGAAGAGGATTGTTAATAACACAGTTGTTTTTTATGAAGTCCACATGTTGATAGGAGATTTACAACATGGGGCAAAAAAATTCAACCGTCTGGATACCTGGCAGCAGAAGAGAAGGTTTCCTATCCAGGTGGGATCTAATCTTGTTGGGGGACTTCAGCGCTTTATAAATACAGGACGTCAGCTCAGACAAACAATACCCAATAAACCTCAAAGGAAGAGCGACTTGTTTGCACAGCTTTGGTTAATGACTGTCCTATACCTGCCAGGCCAACTTTCATCACTGTGCACAGCATGTAGAATGGATTGAGGAATCCTGTTGTTAGGACCACAGATATGTGAATTACAGCTTTTACTGGCTTTCGGTGTAAAGAGAGGAATGTTGGTCCCACAAACTGAGGGAATTCATGGCATTCCAGCAAGCTTATCTGACTGAATCAGTATGGACTGAACCAGACGGCACGCTGCCTGCAGACCAGTCTGTCGCCACTCTGCATTTCACCCCTTCAAACAGGGGTCTGTGTGTATCTGTGCCTGCGTGTGTGTGTGTGCTATGTTAATGAAGGCAGGGAGAAATCGGTGTGCACTATGGGCAGAAAAACTTGTTTCCATGTGTGTGCTCTCACCTTTCCCATCCCTGGGTTCTCTTTCACTTTGGACACGGCTCGGAGGAGACATGGTGGGGTGGGGGGTGGGGAGATCTGCAGGATACCACTGAAATTGGTTGGGTAGATGGAGGGCTCCTGAGGGTGGAGTAGGGAGGGTTGGTGTTTCTTCCGCTTGGAGGAGAGGTTCAGCTTCTGAGCTGCCCTAAAAGAAGGAAACATAGGAAATGAAGGTATGCTGAAAACCAGCAAGCTAAAAAGGTCATACTAAAGGAAATCGTTTTTCTTTGAGGTGCTAGGTCAAGTATTCACACTACAACACCTCCATAAAAGTGAAAAGTTTCCCTTTTAGTTTGCCAACATACACAACGCCACTAAAATAACTATTCTAAGAAAACACTCCCTTCCTTTCACAACTAAAGAAACACTTATTATTCATCACCCATCTCATACTCCTACACAGTATGGAATTAGCAGCAAGGGTTAGCTGCAAATTATATGTTTAATCAGACTTATTAATATAAATTATCACCCTTCAGTTGACTTAACCTGCCAGGGAATAAATGTTGGCTGTCATAGCTGCAAGACAAAGCAGATAAAATCCCTTATCATGATCAGACACAGCTGAGCTGTGATGGACATGCCTGGTGAGCACTACTGGAGGACAACCATACGGGAAACACATGCCGTCCTATGACTGAGCATGTTCATTCATCACTCAAGTAAAAGCTGAGGAATCAATTTTCCTTTGGAAGCTTTAATAAGACAGAAGCTGAGCTTTGAATAAAAATACAAAATGCAGACGGTTCTATCTTGGTGTGGCTAAACTGGTCCGATCACTGATAGTCTGCTCAGAACCAAAACAAAAAAATTCAACCTGTTTTCCATGAACTTTACCAGGTTGAACTGAATACAGTCCTTCACTTCGTAGTGCAAGAAGACTGAGACTAAGTTAGCTATTTTCAATATCAGAGTTTTTTAAAACATGAAATCTGACAAAGTCTGCTTTTAGATGCTCCTATGAAAAACTCTGTTTTTCTGCACGTTTTCACTGTTTATATACACGATCACAATAGTAATGGGTAAAATCAAGTAGATAAGGGAAAGGTAAGTCTGCAACGGCAAAGATGCTCTATTTCATGCTTTTAAGGACTCAAAATCTGTTTTACGTAGAAAAAATGCAGAATGAAAAAATCTGGAAAATTTTGGGTAAATCTACTTGTTCCCCAGTTATTCAACAGTTTTTGTATATAAATTAGCTAACCCACTAACTGCAATGCTTGTGCTAACAGTTCATTTTAGATGCTTAAAGAACAACTTCATTTTGTCTTTTTGGCTCAATTCTATAACTCTTCTCTGACCCTAATCGGTTATTACTGATAAATAGCTGCAGAAAAGTTTAAGAAGTATCTGGATCTAAGCTATTATATTTTTTTATGAGAGGAAATGTGTTGCGCCATAACACTTTTGTGTTCCTCGATTCCACAACTTTAAAGATTTACTTTATTTTGAGTTGCTACAAAGAAAACTATAAATAGTTATAGGTCTTCTTGAAAATAAATTCGAATCAGCTAAAATAAATTTGTAATACAACATCAGATAGAAATAATGTGATCTTCATATTTACCACACATCTGATTGGTGTCCCTTTGGTAGCCAAACAAATGTAATGATATGGACGATTGGTAAATCTGCTGTGTCGGCTCAAACCAGAGTAATATTTGAACTGACTCCTGCATTTTCACAGTATTCTCATCAAAGTCTACTGTCTTCCCAGCTTTCTTCACTGTTCTCAGTACTGAGCTGTTGATAAAACACCATCAGAATCTTTTCTGCCCTGCAGCGCAAAGAAAAGAACTGTTATATTTGCCTGAAGGGATTTATGGCATTGCCCCTGATCAACTATAGCTCTTCTGACAGCAATTCATTGTTGCCATAGCCTCCCAGGAAGATCCAATGAACTCAGATGTTCAAGAAGTCAGACTTCAAAGAAAGTCTGCGAGGACAAAAATGTGACTGTTTAACCTGAAGGAACAAGTTGCTCAAAGGAATATGCAAGTCTTGATACAAAGAATGATTCATCAAGAAAACAGATTTTAGCACAAATCAAGAATGCAGAAATACGAACAAAACACTTTTTTTCAGCTTTTATTGCCATTACACTGTTACAAGTACAGAGCAATGACATGAGCTCTCTGTATTTAACAAGTCCCCTTGGGGAGCAGTGGGCTGCCATCGTGGGACGCCTGGGGAGCAGGGTGGGGTTAAGGGTCTTTGCTTAGTGGCAATCCGTGGGAGTGGGGCTTGAACTCAGAACCTCAGGATTCCAAGCTCTATGCCCTAACCACTAGGCCGCCATTCCCCATCTGTGATCAGCAAGTTAAAATGAAATGTTGTACTTTCTTCATTTTAATTAATGCATCTCAACCTGATATTCCTGCCATTTTATGACAAACAGAGGGATATACTTTAGCATTCCTGTTTAAATCTAACAAAATTCCAATAAAGCTTGGGGACTACGGTCGCTTTATGGTGTCAAAGTGTATTAAGGTTTAGAAAGGCAACCTTTTCAGAAATGTAAGTGCCTAGCACACTGTTCTTAAACCCCTGGAGTCCATTTCACAGAGAATGAGACAGCAAGTGTTAAAAAGTTTTTTCCTTTTTTTTGCTGTATGAAACTCCCTACTGCACACTACCCATCAGAGAAAGGAACATCACACTTTTACCCTGCTTACAAGATAAAACATTTCTGACCACAATATTCATAACATCATGGTTTGAAACTAAATGAGCACCATCTATCCCTTTTATCTTGAAGAAGACAAATTAACCAGCCAATATTACCTCAGCTAATCTAGCTAATTTCCAAATTTAGGGGTTAAATATCCCCTCTGTAGTCTGTCTTTAAAAATTTATATACCACATTCAGTGGTATATCAGTATACCTCAAAAACGTAGCATCTTACATTTATTTTATCTTCTATTGGATTTAAAACTCATTCCTCTTTTAAATTAACCTAAAGAACATATTTTTGTCCTGTTTTGTGATTTTTGGCCAATAACTGGTCAGACCCAAAAGAAAGCCTGAAATTGGTACTGGCAAAAAAATGAAAAAAAAAAAAAAACTGATACGTAAAATCCTTGATTTGAATGGTGCTCACTCAAATGTAACCAATTAATGTGTCTCCAGGTCAGCAGGAGTTTGTCTGTGTTAACCCTCAGTCCATTAGTCCTCCTCTGTCCAGATGGGCAGCCAAAAACCTCACTACGTTCCCATTTCTATCAGCCTGTAGAGACAATCTAACCCCCCTGATCTCAACTGCTCCCCACTTCACTGTAACACCCCCAACAGCGACAGCCCAAGAGCACAATCATGGAACACACTGCTGGCTGATGGAATAATTATTGCATCCAAGAAGGCTACAGGAGAAGACTCTCCCCAGGGAGCTGCCTGTGCGCGATACCGTGCAAGACAGATCATGTGACTGGAAAAAATGAATAAAAACTAGATAGAATAGATGGATGTGATCCACGGCAAAGGAGAGGTGAAACTAAGCCAGAGTCCACGTGGCTGCATGCTGCAGCGTGCATGTGTACACTTATGGGAGGTTTCTGCAACACATTCATTCAAGAGAAACCTATCCGTCTGTCTCTCGCCTCATTCTGTCGTTTTTTTTGCAGAAGCAGCATAAATCAAATTTAAGCCTAAGACAGCACAAGAAAAAAAAGAAGCAGCAAATTGATTTGTAACTGTCCAGACCACAGTGGGGTGCTTACATCCCAAAGCTGAGATGGTAACCTTGAAGTTGAATTGATGCTGCACAATGACAGTCAGTGCACAGGTGTGCTCTTCAATGAAAGATGGGGCAAATTCATGTCCACATATTTTGGGACTAATTAACTGCTTCCTTCTCTGTCTCTCCCTCGTCTTATCTTTCCCCTTCCTATTCCTCTCCCAACTGTGAACAGGGAAAAAGGTGGCGAGAAGAGGCTCAGATTTCATCAGCCCACAACAGCTTGTCCACCTGTTCACGCTCAATCTCCATGTAAAGCTGTTCCCAAACACCACTCACTAAAATTTCATAAAGCAAGGTTTCAAAGTAAACATGCCTTAGATCTTGCAAGTATTTTTTTTTCTTTTTTTTGCAAAATATATTTATTTACATTTGCTTAAGCATGCATCAATGAGAACGTGCTGCAGTCATGTACTTACAGCTCTTTCCAATCCATCATCTAGTTTATGCTCATAGTCAAAAAACAGACAACTGATACAGATCAACTTTGAGGTCTGTGTCTGTGCTGTCACTGTTCTCCATTATTTGCACATTTGCTACGCCACCGCAGTCACCAAGAATACGGCGAGGAGGAGGGGGGTTGCTCACTACTCAGGGCACGGGGCTCCTTCCTGCTCCGATCGCAATCATTGGGGTTCCGCTTGATTTCACAGAGGTTTGTAAGACGCCAGGGGGAAGGAGAGAGAACGGTCGGGGTGAGGCGTGGGCGTCATAGTAACTAACTGGAACAAGCTGCAGGTGGGTCATAGATGAGGTGGGCAGCAAGAGGGACTGCTCTGCAGGAAAAAATGTAGAATAGGAGTAGTAAGTGAGGTACGGGAAATCCAGAGTTTTAGAAGAGGAAACAACAGATGGAGACCCCCTTTTTTAAAACATCCCCAACTCTCTTGCAAAGGAAAAGTTCTGCATCAGTTCAGAATCTCATCAAACAACTCTCAGCAGTTCAGTTCTCTTCATTTCTTCATCTTGCCACATGCTGGATGGTTTCCTGTCATGTAGTTAATCCCACGCGCTCTGTCTGCTGTGAGCAGCTGTGCGTCCCGATGGTCTTTCCCACAGGCAGGGGGATTGGAAAGGATTCTATACTCCTAGCCTGGCTTTGTGAAGAGAAGGAGAAATCCTGCTTCTGTTCCACCTCTTGGTCCTTCTCCTGCTATCGGAGAAATTCTGGCAGCTGTCCTGCCGTGTCTCTCTTTCCCTCCTGCTCTCTCTGTCTCACATACACACATACAATCCCTCCTCCTTCCTCTCCCTTTTTTTTTTCTTCAGCCCAACCCCTTCTCCCTCCGACTGCCAGACGAGGTGTCAGCGCTCGATTGCTGGATGCTTGCGGCACAATTTGCCAGTACTCTCTTTCTCCCCTTACCCGAACACACACACACACACATGCATGCACCTCAAAACACGTCAA